TTCAAAACATATCCAATTGACTTGAATGAAGAAAAATTGTTGGAAGAATACAGAAAAAGCGCCACAGTCTGAGTGAGGTCTTAATAGGCACAAATTCAAATTAATTGAACTTTCATGCAGATATTAAACAAAAGGTGAATTTTCTTTTAAAAAAATAATAATTGGAGGAACATATTTATGTATCGTCATTCTTTTTGCACAATATATAGTGCATCTTGTAGGGTAATAATGGATGGGCTGAACATATTACAATAGAAGAAATCAATTATTACAATAGCTATGAAATTATACTTGTTGTACTCCAAATTTTAGGACAATATTTACTACAATTTCTCAAGTAAATGTATCATTGACCAAAATTCTAATTAATTAAATGGTTGTATGTATATGTAATGTATCAATATTTTATAAATAGTGTAAGATTGTATATATGTATGATGTATAACTACATATTAAATATGTATAAATAATCACAAACACAATTATATAATATTTATACATTACAACACATCTTCCTCACGAGTTGATTTTTTTTTCAATACCAACTAGCTTAAATCTCCTATAAATAATCCTAAACTATAGATATAAGAATATTTCGATGTTTCAATTCTTTTAATATATTATATATTCACTAGCAATGATCAATTTACATTTAAGGCATATCAATTTTAAATTTTGAGGTTTGAAACGTTTTAATGAAAGATTTCAATGGACATCCGATTCAAACTCCACTAAACAATCCTAAAATTTAGACATCACGAGCTCCTCTCCATATTTCTATTAGATATATAATACACTCGAAATAATCCAACTACGAAGATGTCGAATTTTATTATTTAAACTTACCCAAGTGTCCGGAGAAGATTTGAGTAGACACAAACATAATTAATAACTGATCAAATGGGCATTTCTATTGATTACTTAATGACCAGATATAAATTCTCGATAATTAACTGAAAATCATGTTATTTTCTATTAGAACATTGGACCAAATGGTCATTCTACTTAATTATTCCAATTTACTATATCTAGTAATAACATATCATTTGAATTAAAATATAAAATAATGAAATTTGAATTGCAATACAATTTTTTTGTTGAAAGATAATATTTTATTACTTTTAAGTTTACACTTTAAAAAAGAATTAATTGTAAGAGTAAATGGGGAAACTGTAATCTATTTATCTCAATTAATTAGGACAACTATTTTTAATAATGTGGATAACTATATGGAACCGAGGGACTGGGGAGTACTAGATTAATTAATTATTTTAGTTTTTCGATTACTTTTGTTGAAAATGTAGTCAACCACAACGATATGAGTGATCTTCCAATAGATGATTAAAGGACTAATGAATTCAGAACTTTCCCCGTAACTTTTAATTAAATTCACTATTCTAATAATCTGAGACAATTTATGTAGATTTTGCAAAGCAAATTTATTAAACTTTAAAAAAGGAAAAATAATAACTTTTAATCTATGCAATATTTTACTTTCCGTGTTCCGGTTACAATTTTGGAAAGTAATTAAAATCTAATGCACTATAAAGACCAAGCTAGCCTCATGTATTGAAATCATTCATTTATACCTCTCTCCATTTTCTTTATCATGTCTTCAGAAAAGCTCATAACTCTCAAGACTAGCGATGGCGAGGAATTCAAACCCGATGAGTCTATAGTTATGAGGTCGCAAGTCATCAAAAACATAGTACAAGACGTGGATTGTGCTTCTAACGTCATCCCCCTAACTAATGTTGATGGAAAAACTATGTGCAAAGTGGTTGAATATTGGAAGAAACACTCGGAGGAAGGTGTATCGAAAGAAGTATTGATGGATTTTGACAAGAATTTCGTGAAGGTGGATCAGTCGGTTTTGTTTTATCTTCTCTTAACTGCTGATTTTCTTAACGATAAGGAGATGCTGGATGTAATGTGTCAAGAAGTTTCTAATAGAATCAAAGGTAAAACCCCAGAGGAAATACGTAAAGAATTTGGTATCGAGAATGACTTTATTCTAGAGGAAGAAGAGGAGAACCTAAAGAGAATGCTTGGTCTTTGAATGTTTTTATAACGCTAGTGTTATTTTCATTTTTGTTCTTTTTTTTTTAAGAATTTGAACTGTTTAGTTAGCTATAGGTTATTTTATTTAGTTTTATCTTTTGTTGTTCTTTTTTATGGAATTGTTGTTTGCTTTATGGATTTATAAATTTATAAATTATGTCGGAAAGAAACTAAAGTTATTTACGTTAAATTTGAAAAAGAAAACATTCATTCAAATGGTTGAAAGATGAATTTGATATCTCAACAAGAAATAACTTTAATTTTTTTTAAATATAAAATATTTATGTTACTAACACACACATTTGTGGGAGAAGAGTTGGACTGAGATATAAGGATTACTAAACAGAGAACACAAGCCATACGTTCACTTTATTAATTATCACTATTGTTAGACTTGAAAATGTCTAGGATCTATCAGAAACGTCTCTCTACCTCTCAAAGATAGGGATAAAATCTACATACATCTTTTCCTCTTCAATCCCACTTGTGGAATTAGTATTGTTAGTCTTGAAAATTGCATTGAGGAAATAAGCTAGAGTCTTAATTACCCACTTATTTAGGGTAAAAAAAAAAACTTAGTGGAAGCTTAAATATGTGTGTACAACTTTTCAAACACCATGGTTAGATATTACGGAAAAAATAATTTTTCTCCTAATTGAGAGTTGGAAGAAAAAAAAAAAGGCTTCCTTTTCCTAATCTTACTCGGTCACATACATAGAGTTTAGGATTAAAAGGAAAACACCATAAGAAATACGTAAAGAATTTGATATCAAGAATGATTTTACTCTAGAGGAAGAAGAGGAGATTCGTAAAGAGAATGCTTGGGCTTTTGAATGATTTTATAGTTATTTTCAAAAAAATTCCTTTTTTATATTAGAATTAAAACTGTCTAGTTAGCTATATCCTATTTTATTTTATTTGGTTTTATATTCTATTGTTCCTTTTTATAGAATTACTTTTGATTTTGATTGATTTATAAATTATGTTGGAAAGAAATTAAAGTTATTTATACAAACTTAGGGGTTGTTTGGTAGGCCACATTAGAAGAAATGGATCATGTATTATGTAAGGTATAATTTAGTAATTAGTGTTATGTTTGGTAGGAATTTCGACCTATGTATAGTTAATCGATGGATCAGTTATACCTCCGGTATTTTAGGATGTATTACTAATACCTTCCATTTGGAGGTATTAGTAATACACATGATATAATACCATGTGATAAGTCTATGAAAAGACAAAAATATCCCTCAAATCATTTTAATTATTTTGTTTATTTTCTTGATGTTAGATTTATATTTGTACTAGTAAATTTATTTAAATAAATTAGCTTACAAATTATTTAGAGAGAGTTGTTTGTTACTAAATAAATCTAATACAAATCAATACAAATTTGAAATGTGAGTTGCTTATTTGTATATAAAATTTGTGATCTTAATTGAATATATATGTATTTATGTGGTTTTCTAATTATTTGGATTTTGAACAATTTAAAAAATTACATACATATTAAAACTACAACTTGCAATTTTTATGTGTAAATGTAGATGGTTTTCAGTTTTCAAAAAGCCATTCTCAGTGACGACATTATTATCGCCGACGAAAAGGTTGCAAACGTGTATACGCCCCCTGATAGGACTGCAACCTAACTATGACCTAACTATATCGGTTGAAAAGTAGCTAGTCTCTGACAAAGGTGCTCTTGAGTTCGCTAAGCCATTTATATGCAATGAAGGTGGAACGGATTTCTCTCCAATCGCCTTTCGCCCGTTCTCTCAGTACTCAGTAGTAGCTCCCGTATTCGCGACTCGCGAGGGTTGAAAATGGATTTCAGACAATATGAACAACAATAACTCGACATTCTCAAGTTCACCAATTGCATTGGAGACAAGTATATGTCAGTTCCATAGATCAAGGCTTTCAAGGACTCCTGAGTTGGTGATTTGTCACCATGCATTATGAACATAAAGTCCCAGGGTATGGAATCCCAGAAAGAGGCTGGCCCAACTTAAATGAGATATGATAGCTTATTTATGATCTAACATTCTTGCCAATACATTATCTTCAATTTACTCCGGATTGTAATCTCTAATGAAAATATAGCTCCATGAGCAAAAGCTCCTGTCATGATGAATCCTGCGATATATTGGTGGTGGGTATATAATTCAGCTTGAGTAGTAAAGTCTTGTGCTATATATGCATAAGCAGGTAAAGAGTACATGTGTTGAGCTACCAAAGAAGTAATAACCCCTAAAGAAGCTAGAGCAAGGCCTAATTGAAAATGAAGCGAATTATTGATTGTGTCATAATGACCCTTATGTCCACGCCCCAATCGTCCCCCCGGAGGAATATACGATAAGGAGATATTGGATTTGATCTGAGTAAACATAGACATAATTAGTAAATGATCAAATGGTCATTCTATTGTTTTAGTTTTTCAATTACTTTTGTTGCAAATGTAGTCAAACATAACGATTTTAATAACTATCAGAAATGACTGGTCCTCTAATTGATAACTAAAATGATGAGTTTTGAACTTTCCTTGTAACTTTTAATTATATCATTATGCTAATAATCTATGACTGAACATGTAGATTTTGTAAAGCAAATTAATTGAACTTCAAAAAAGGAAAAATAATAAGTTTTGGTCTATTTAATAGTTTGCTTTCCATATTCCTACCACAACTTTGGAAAGTAATTAAAATCTAATACACTATAAAAGACCAAGCTAGCCTCATGTATTGAAATCATAAATTCATAGATTTCTCCATTTTCTTTGTCATGTCTTCAGAAAAGATCATAACTCTTAAAACTAGCGATGATGGGAATTCAAACTCGACAAGTCTGTAGTTGTAAAGTCAGAAGTCATCAAGAATTTAGTACAAGACGTTGATTGTACTTCTAATGTCATCCCCTTGCTTAATGTTGATGGCAAAACAATGGCAAAAGTGATTAAATATTGGAAGAAACATTCGGAGTAAGGTGTTACGGAAGTTCAGTTAAAGAATTTTGATCAGGATTTCTTGAAGATGAGCCACTCAAAATTATTTCATGTTCACTTGGCTTCTAGATATCTTGATGATAAGCAGCTGGAGGAAGTAATAATCCAAGAATCTTTTGATAGGATCACAGGGAAAACACTAGAGGAAATACGTGAAGTATTTGGTATCGTGAATGATTATACTCCAGAGGAAGAGGAGCAGGTTCATAGAGAGAATGTTTGGGCTTTTAAATGATTTTATAATATTTTCTGTTATTTCCTTAGCTATATCCTCTTTTTATTTTTATTTTATTTTTGTTAGTTCTATCCTCTGTTGCTCCTTATTGAAGAAATATTATTCGATTTTGAATGATTTATAAATTATGTTGGAAAGAAATTAAAGCTAGTTGTATTATTCAAAAAAAACATTCATTCAAATGGTGGAAATATAAATTTGATATCTCAAAAAAAAGTATCTAAATTTATTCTTTCAATAAATTTGAGGTCTTTTCTTTCAAAGCATATCCAATAGACATGATATGTTTTCTTGATTTATTCCCATAATTTAAATTCTAGAAAGCCTCTTAACATAGATTTTTCTTTGAAGTTACACATAAAACAACAAATATGATTTTTGGTACTCAGAAATCCTCCTTTGAAAGACAATTAAAATTGCAAAACTAATATTGAAATTATCTAGCTAAAATTATACTTTCAGTTTATCTTTAGAAATACTATAAAGTATCTTCATATATTATAAGTATTTAAATAAAACAACAAAAATAGTAATAATAACGTAAGTTGGACTCTAAATTAATTATATGAAATTTCTTAAAATTCTTACTTGATTTACCAAGACAATTAGCCCGACCATAATTTAAATTCATTTTCAACATCATTGAAGCAACATACATATACCATTGAACTCCTTTTAAGACAATTAATCCGAACATAATTTAATTTTCGATATTTCTCCATCCATCCAAATATAATTAGTTGATTGACTATGTTAAATACCTAATATATTTTAGACTACCTAGACAACTGAAATTTCGTAATTTTTGACGTCCAACTCAATTTCATATAATTAATTAGAACAAGATAGAAAAATCATGAAATTCCTTTTTAATACTATGTTATATGATTTCAATGTCATTTTAGAACTATACTGACTGTCAACATTCTAAAATTGATACTAATGTAGGACAATTAATAAACTATGACTCAGGATTCTGGTGTTGGAGCTTAAAAAAGATGAATGACTTGATTGACACAATAGTACATCTTGCAGGGTAATAACAGGTGGGCTAAATATATTACAATAGAAGAAATCAATTATTACTATTGCTATGAAGTAATTTGTGTAATATTCCAAATTTTAGTACAATATTTACTAGGGCTTCTAAAGTAAATATATCAATTTTTATTAATTTAAATGGTCGTATGTATATGTAATGTATCGATATTTTATAAATAATATATAATTGTTGGCATTTGTCTCAAAATTTATGCCGAAATGTCAAAAAGTGTTGATCTAAGCTTGGTATCAGCATTACCTAAATAAAATAATCTCTGATTTTATAAATTTACTAGCACTCAATATATTTATATCAAATTAATAAATTATACGGAAAAGAGCCAAAAATATTCTTAGACTATTCAAAATACTTTGAATATACCCCGCAATCATCTATTTGGCTAAAAATACCCCTCAGTCAGCCTTTTTAACCTATTTTTTCCTTAAAACTTAATCGATTTTTGAAATTCATTATTATTACTATTATTTATTATGTGGCATCTTCCTATATGATAAAATTAAATCTTCTGTCACGCCTCGAGCCTACACCCTGGGTGGGACTGGCACTCGAGAACCATTGTTGGCCCCAAGCGAACCTTTGGCCTGACTTACTTACTCAGCAGAAGACTCTAAGCATTACTACAATGATCAAATGCATTTCTACTCAACTGTTTAATAAAATAACTTAGAACGTTTAAAAGTCAAACATTCAACTTGGACAAAGTGGCAACTCAAGTCTTAACATATGATAATGAAAATGAAAAGACTAAAGAACTAACATTTGACTGTTTATCTATGAAGCCTCTAAGCAACAGAGATGGATGTCGGGACAAGACACACAACATTCTAATGAACTAAAATGATAAAGTAATGAAAAGGGGGGATCCTCCGAAAGCAATGAGGCTCACCAACAACTCTAAAGCCCAACTGGATCAACGATGCGTTGGATGCTGATCCTGGTTACCTGTATTTGCATCATAAGAAGATGCAGGTGAAATGGCATCAGTACATTGAATGTACGATTATGCAAGGGGAATTCTAAAACAAGACATAAGCTTGAAAGGAATATGAAAGGAACACTTACCTTGGCTTTACTCAACTCAAATGCAAAATAAAACAACAATAATGGTGTTGTTTATACAAAGCATTTAAAAAAGTAGGTAGCAACTCAATTTGTTAAAGAAATGCAATAACAACTTTGTTTACATATAAAGTAATATAATACTGTGAGAGTTTCTCTAACCGACAACCATCACTATGAGCCTAAGTGATGATACATCGTCTTGCCCACGCTGCCAGACTGTCCCATACTTTGCCGTCATATAGAACACCTCAACTAAGTGGATCCACTAGTCTATGCTAAAAAGCACTAAGGAATCATCTAAACGTGTGATCCTTTCTACCCATGATGGGTACATGGTTTATGTAGACTTGAGTTATTATGAACTCGCGTCCCCATATCGGTGCTCAATACTAATCCCAAGATATACTCAGCTCATATGTTTTAAAAACAAAATTCTTTCTGTGATTTGAGATAATTACTCAAAAACGAGCTCAAGGGCTCTCTTGGAAATCGGTGTTTCCTTTCTTGCTCAAATGTGAAAACATTTTAACTCTTGGGAATACTTAGTTCCCGTATAATCTTTAAAGAAATGAACTTTACTCTTACTCTTTACTCACTCAAAGCTCAAGTCTTAAAACAAAGTTAAAATGTTTGCAAAAGACTTTTGAAATGACTATAAGAAATCTCTAGACTTAGCTCTTAAGTTTCCTTGAATTTGAATTTATGGATTCAGGGATTGTGATTTGTGATAGAACGGATCTCATTATGCTTAGGAGTGTTTTTAGATAGTTAAACATGAGAAACGATCAAGAAATCACTTTCTGGAAACTAGTCCACGGGCAGAGATGAATTTAAATACTTGGTCGTGAAATTAATTTTGAGGTAAAATGGTTTGTGACCGCTCCGCGATGCAAGGAAGAATTTTTCTCTTCCTGAGGAACAGGTCCGCGCCGCGGACCTAGTACCCAGATTGGCCCAACTTTTTCCTTCGTCGCTTTCCAGCCCCAATTCGCCTAAACTCAGTTCTTTTTCCCAAATTCTCTTTAGATTCAGATACCCAGTAAATGTACCTAAGAACTTAGCTCAAAACAACTCTATAATTCGACGCAATAATCTCAGAAACTCCTCAATCTCAGCCCAATCCAAGAACAAAAACAATTTCAAGAACACATATCAAGAACATCAAACTTTCAACCTTTTTAGGACGAATTCACGCTGAAATAAACATGTTTGGTACGTGGGTGAACGAACCCAACGTTATGAAATTCTCACATACCTCGTAGGATTGAATCCTTGGCGAAATCCACAACCAAACTCGCAAGAACTTGACGAATCTTGAACTTTCTTCTCCTTTCTTCCTCTTTTCTCTTCTCTCAAAGCCTTAGCGTAATTCTCAATAGCGTAAAATTAACTAACTCAGTTTAGACCCCAAATAATTTACTAAAAACGAATTAATTTAATTGGGTATGGAAAAGACCAAAATACCTTTCCAAAATCCAATTTTGACTTTCCATATCTAGACAACCCAACTTCAAATGGACATATCTCACTCATACGAAATCGGAATAGAGTAAACTCGGTGGCGTTGGAAAGATAATTCAAATATATTTCCTACGGTATCTTGTAGCACACCTAAATCATCCTGAGCTAGGAGGTATGGTCGTTTTAAGTTGACCCAAAACTCAAACTTAACATAACTTAACCAATTTTCCAGATTTTTCATCTTTCCTAAAATGACTATTTCTAATTCTAGCTCTTTCAAATAGCGAGGTGTTACAATATCTCCCCCTTGGGAACATTCATCCTGGAATGAGATTACTCTTAATAGGCTAAGGGTGTAACATCTAACATTCAACTCAAACACCAAACAAGCAAATGTAACACATCAAGTATATAAATTAAAGAGTACTAAGAAGAGAATTAGTACCTTGGTCTGGAATTTCTCCGAGTTCAAAGAGATGTGAATATCTCTTCTTTATATCATCCTCAGCTTCCCAAGTAGCTTCCTCAACAAATCGATTCCTCCAAAGAACTTTGACTAATGCTACTTCCTTGGTCCTCAACTTGCGGATTTGGCGATCTAGAATCTGAACCGAAATCTCCTCATAGGAAAAGCTATCATTGATACCAATATCTTCAGTTGGTATGATTAATGTGGGATCTCTCATGCATTTCTTCAACATGGAAATATGAAATACCGGATGAACCGCTGCTAACTCCTGGGGTAGCTCTAGCTCATAAGCTACATTACCCACCTTCTTGACATACAGCTCTCTATCTTTTAGAGTTTGGAGAACTATTCTGAGATGGCTAGCATGATCTTCCTCATTCTTCGAATAGATTAGAATTGCATCAATGGACACGATAACAAACATATATAAATAAGGCTTGAATACTCTATTCATAAGGTCCATGAAACGCTAGTCAAACCAAAGGACATAACTAGAAACTCATAATGACCATAACGAGTCCTGAATGTTGTCTTTGGAATGCCGCATTCCTTTACTCTTAACTGATGGTAGCCTGATCTGAGGTCTATCTTAGAGAAACAAGTAGCACCTTGAAGTTAATCGAAGATATCATAGATTCTCGGAAGAGGATACTCATTTTTGATGGTAACCTTGTTCAACTGACAGTAACCTATAAACATCCTAAAGGAACTATCCTTCTTCGTCACAAATAAGACCGGAGCGCCCCAAGGTGAGATACTTGGTCGAATGAAACCTTTATCTAGGAGATCTTTCAACTGCTCTTTCAACTCTTTTAACTCCGTTGGTGCCATTCTATATGGCAGAATAGATATAAGACGAGTATCTGGAAGAATATCTATGTCGAAGTCTATCTCTCTCTCAGGAGGGACTCCGGGTAGATCACCTGGAAAGACTTCTGAAAACTCACTCACAACTGGAACTGACTCAATAGGAGGTGTCTCAACACTAGAGTTATTAACTCGGACTAAGTGATAGACACAATCCTTGTAAACTAACTTTATCGCCTTAAGGTACAAAATGCAACGAACCTTAGGCACAACTGAACTGCTACTCCACTCTATAACTGGCTCATTAAGAATTCGGAACCTAATAACTCGAGTTCTACAATCAATGGAGGCATAAAAGCATGAAGCTAGTCCATACCTAGAATGACATCGAAATCTACCATGTCTAACTCAACTAAATCAACCATGGTTTCCTTGTGATTGATGGAAATGACACAATCACGATATACTCACTCAGCTAGAATAGACTCCCCAATAGGTGTAGAAACACAAAAGGGTTCACAAAGTTTCTCAAGAAGAAAATCAAACTTCATTGCCATATAAGGAGTCACAAAAGATAAACTTGCTCATAGGTCTAGCAAAGCATAAACATCAAGAGTAAAGACTTTGATCATACCAGTGACAACATCTGGAGAATTCTCTTGCTCTTGACGAATAGTGATCGCATAAAGGCGGTTTGCTCCTTCGCCAGTACCGGAAGTAGGTCCTCTAGGTGCAGCCCTGTCTGGTGGAGCAAGTGATGAAGATTGGGCTCTATTGCCCTGATTCCAATTACCTTGTCTGTTCTTAGGGCAGTCTGTCATGAAGTGACCTTTTTGTCCATACTTGAAACAACCTGTAGAGCCTCGTACCTTTGCTTCTCTCAGTTCTCGGGGAAAGAAACACCCCAAGAATGCCTCCTCAAACAAAGCCTAACTCAAAATTGGTTACACGTAAGCATGAGTTAGAAAGAAACTGTATAGAGATGAACTCTATCTCACGAAATGAGTATGAAAGAAGTGAGATAGTTCCTAAGTGTCGCAGCCTCCTAATTATAGATGTGGCATGCTTCACACCGATAACTAGGACTCTACTGACACGGCTTCATAGACTCCCTAGGACTCTTAAACTTTGTGCTCTGATAACAAGTTTTTCACGCTCCAAGCCTACACCTAGGCGGGACTGGCACTCGAGAACCATTACTGGCCCCAAGCAAACCCTTGGCTTAGCTTACTTACTCAGTGGAAGATTTAAACATAATAAATAGTCTCAAATAAGGAACTGACGAATTAAACTTAGAATGTCTTTAAGGGAGCATTCAAACTAGCCAAAATGGCTACTCAAGTCTCATAGAAAAACATCTGAAATACAAGACTAAAAAACTATTACTACTCATCTATGAAGCCTCTAAAACCAAGAGGGATGTCGGGACAAGACCCTCGATAATCCTAACAACTAAAGTACTAAATCAAATGATAAAGGGGTCCTTCGGAAAGCAATGAGGCTCACCAACTAACTCTAAGAGCTCAATTGGATCAACGAGGTGCTGGATGTTGATCCTGGTTACCTGTGTCTGTATCATAAAACGATGCAGGCCAAATGACATTAGTACATTGAATGTACAAGTATGCGAGGGGAAAACTAAACATAACATAAGCTTGAAAGGAATTTGAAAGGAACACTTACCTTGGCTTTACTCAACTCATGAATAACTCAACTCAAATGCAAAGTACAACAACAATAATGGTGTAGTTTATACAAAGCATTTAAAACAGTAGGTAGCAACTCAATTTGTTAAAGAAATGCAATAACAACTCAGTTTACATATAAAGTAATATAATATTGTGAGAGTCTCTTTAACCGACAACCATCACTATGAGCCTAAGTGATGATACAATGTCTCGTCCACGCTGCCATAATTGTCCTACACTTTGCCGTCATATAGAACGCCTCAACTAAGTGTATCCACTAGTCTATGCTTAAAAGCACTAAGGAATCATCTAAAAAATATGATCCTTTCTACCCATGATGGGTACATGGTTTATGGAGACTTGAGTTATTATGAACTCGCATCCCTATTTCGGTGCTCAATACTACTCCTAAAATATACTCAGCTCATATGTTTTAAAAACAAAACTCTTTCTATGATTTGAGATAATTACTCAAAAAGTAGCTCAAGGGCTCTCTTGGAAATCAGTGTTTCCTTTCTTGCTCAAATGTGAAAACATTTTAACTCTTGGGAATACTTAGTTCCCGTATAATCTTTAAAGAAATGAACTTTACTCTTACTCTTTACTCAACTCAAAGCTTAAGTCTTAAAACAAAGTTAAAACGTTTGGAAAAGACGTTTGAAATGACTCTAAGAATTCTCTAGACTTGGCTCTTCACTTTCCTTGAATTTGAATTTATGGATTCAAGGATTGTGATTTGTGGTAGGAAGGATCTCATGATGTTTAAGAGTGTTTTTGGATAGTTAAACATAGAAACGATCAAGAAATCATTGTCTGGAAACTAGTCTGCGACGCAGAGATGAATTTAAATATTTGGTGGGGAAATTAATTTTGAGGCAGAACGGTCCGTGACCGCTCCGCTCCACGAGGAAGAATTTTTCTCTTCCTGAGGAACAGGTCCGCGACGCGGACCTGGTACCCAGATTCGCCCAACTTTTTCCTTCGTCGCTTTCCAGCCCCAATTCGCCTAAACTCAGTTCTTTTTCTCAAATTCTCTTTAGATTCAGATACCCAGTAAATGTACCTAAGAACTTAGCTCAAAACAACTCTATAATTCGACGCAATAATCTCAAAAACTACTCAATCTCAGCCCAATCCAAGAACAAAAATAATTTCAAGAACACATATCAAGAACATCAAACTTTCAACCTGTTTAGGATGAATTCACGCTGAAATAAACATGTTTGGTACGTCGGTGAACGAACCCAATGTTATGAAATTCTCACATACCTCGTAGGATTGAATCCTTGGTGAAATCCACAACCAAACTCGCAAGAACTTGACGAATCTTGAACTTTCTTCTCCTTTCCTTCTCTTTTCTCTTCTTTTAAAGCCCTAGCGTGATTCTCAATAGCGTAAACTGAACTAACTCAGTTTAGGCCCCAAATAATTTACTAAAACGAATTAATTTAATTGGGTATGGAAAAGACCAAAATACCCTTCCAAAATTTGGTTTTGACTTTCCATATCTAGACAACCCAACTTCAAATGGACATATCTCACTCATACGAAATCGGAATTGAGTAAACTCGGTGGCGTTGGAAAGATAATTCAAAGATCTTTCCTAGGTATCTTGTAGCACACCTAAATCATCCTGACCTAGGAAGTATGGTCGTTTTAAGTTGACCCAAAACTCAGATTTAACATAACTTAACCAATTTTCCAGATTTTTCATTCTTTCCTAAAATGACTATTTCTAATTCTAGCTCTTTCTAGTTCTTTCAAGTAGCGAGAAGTTACATTTGTACTGGACGAGGCGATAGTCGTAAGGTCACAAACCATCAAGAATATGGTTGAAGACGATTGTGTTTCAAATGGCATTCCCATGCCTAATGTCGATAGCAAAACAATGACCAAAGTGATTTAATACCGGAAGAAACATTCGGAGGAAGATGTCTCCAAAGACATAGTGTTGGAGTTTGACAAGGCTTTTGTGAAGGTGCACCACTCGATTTTGCATGCCCTTATCTTAGCTGTTAATTTTCTTAACTATAAGGAGATATTGGATATGATGTGTCAAGAAGTTGCCGATAGGATTAAAGGAAAAACACCAGAAGAAATACATAAAGAATTTGATATCAAGAATGATTTTACTCCCGAGGAAGAAGAGGAGATCAGTAAAGAGAATGGTTGGGATTTTGAATGATTTTATAACATTACTGTTAGTTTTTGTTCATTTTTTATTTTAGAATTAAAACGGTCTAGTTACCCATATTTTGTTTTATTTTATTTAGTTATATATTATGTTGTTCATTTTTTTAGAATTGTTCTTTGATTGTGATTGATTTATAAATTATATTGAAAATAAATTAAAGCTATTTATACAAACAACTTAGTGATTGAAAATAGAGTCTAACTATTGAACTTATAAGCAAACAAATTATTGATTATGCTAGAAAAATCAATAAAATATTTATTAGCTATAATTTTACCTAACCATTAAATTAATAGTTCTTGCTCTCTCACTGTTACAAGAAAATTAAATTGAAAATTGATTCAAGATTCGAATTGCAAAAATATGCTTTTGACGGTTTTAAAAAAAAAGATTATTAAGAAATAAATATTGAGATACTAAAAAAAAAATTAAGATAATTAAGAAATAAATTATGAGATAATCAAACAAGATAGAAATAATAAAACAAACATATTAAAACAAGAAGAGAGTATTTAACTCAATCCCGTGATGTGCTTTAAATCAGAATTCGAACCATCTTCTGTTGTTCCTTTTTATAGAATTGTTGTTTGTTTTTATTGATTTATGAATCATGTTGAAATTAAATTAAATCTATTTATATTAAATTTGAAAAAAAAAATTCATTCGTATAGTTGAAAGATGAATTTGATATTTCAAAATGAAATATCTAAATTTAATTTATTAATAATTTTGGGTTATTTTCGTTCAAGGAATATTGAATTTTTGACCAAAAAAGCTACTATTTAAATCAATTTACAATAATAATACAATTTTTTGTAAACTTTACAAAACTAGTATAAACGTTGTTGGTAGTAACGTATTAGCCCATATTTTATTCAAAAGAATAAACGGACAAAAGTTAAATGAGGGACGACGTTAAGTAGGAAAACGTTACTACGGGTAACGTTTTATTACGACGTTTAAGTAAGAAAACGTTACTACGGGTAACGTTTTATATATATTTATACATTTAATTCTAAATTTTCCATAAACCCAATTTTGACCCTTATACGATTTAACCTAGTCTAAACCCAATTTCAGTTCTACTTTGAAATTTCACCCTTGCCCTAACCTCAATCTCATCTAGCGCTGCGAACACCGTTCAGTTCCCAATTCTTGCCGCTGGTGTTGCCGGAAGAAGGAGATTCAGCGCCATATCTATTTTAAGGTAATTTTCTTGTTCAAGGTTTGATTTTTCTTTACGAAGTAAGGCTTGACAAATCCATAGATGAATTCTATCTTTTGTAATTTGAGGAAAATTTCATGAAATTGAATTTCAATATAGGATTCTATTTTGTTATAGATTTTGATTTGATTTTAATTTTTTTGGACTATTTTTCGACACTCCTTTCATGGCCAGTGAACTCGAACTCTCTCTGATTTTCTGATTTGCCTGCGTAGTAACTTTCACATCCCAACTACCGTTGATTCGAATAACGGAAGCTCCGATGAGCAAAGGTATCAACTGCATAAAGAAAATGGCTTTGATTGTAAGAGCATACATTGCTCCAGCCAGATACTATTTTATATAAACTTCCAAGTTTTTGTTTTTTTCTAATATGAAGAAGATACAATCTCTGTAATGCCAAATAAATTTTAGATCTTTCAAGACACTTTTTTGGGATCATTTTCACTTGGTATCAATACATTGTTAATTAGAGCCATATTAATAGCATGCTGCCTATCCAAGTTCCTAATTCACTTTGTCTAATTCATGCTTCTCTTTTTTCGATGAATGTCAAGAAAAAATCACATAACAATATTTGAGTTAACATTTAAGTTTACTTTCATATGTATCTCATAGGTATTTTCTTTTATGGCGGATAATAGTGAATACAAGTTGGATCCCGGTCCACTTGAATTGGATGTATTAACGGGACAACTCACTCATAGATCACAGGATATATGGGAAGGAAGTTCTAATATGATTCTTAATACGAGGAGAGAAGATGGAAATTTTTGGAAGCTCGTAGAAAAATATCCTATCCATCCACGAGTCCTTGAAGTGATTAGATTATGTGGATTGTATGGTGTTTACAAAGCTAATCGGCCTGCTATCGACCGCAGTTTGATCACTGCATTAGTTGAGCGATGGCGTCCCGAAACTCATACTTTTCACTTTAGGACAGGTGAAGCAACAGTCACCTTACAGGATGTAGAGGTGTTGTATGGATTACCTGTGAATGGTGATCCAGTACTTGGTAATGAGACGATAAAGACCATAGGGGATTGGCAAAAACATTTGTCAAAGATTATAGGTTTCATTCCATCTCGTGAAGACTTCAAAACAAATTCCCTCAAGGTCGCTGCATTTAATGCATAGATGCTAAGCCAACCAGAGTTGCCGAACACGGCAACACAAGATATGATCAATCAGAAGGCCAGATGTTACATGTTCTGGATGATTGCGGGTATGTTGATGGCGGATACATCTGGTGGTTATTTGAAGCTTATGTACTTGCCTATGCTCGAGGACATCGATAAAATTGGGTCTTATAGTTGGGGGAGTGCAACCTTAGCTTACTTATATCATTTTCTTTGTAAAGCCTCACAGACTACCCAAAATGAAATAGCCGGATTTCTACCACTACTTCAGGTATACCTAAAAATTGTACAAATTATTTATTTGTATTTCTTATAATTTACTAGTTTTGAAAGATGCAAACTTTGATTTGTCTCCATAGCATTATTAGATGATGGAAACTTTAAAAGAAGTAATCTTAAAACTTTTTTCTAATAGATTTGGGCATGGGAGAGAGTCACTGTCCTCAGTCCTCAGATAGTAGCCAAGAAAGATGCGAGAACTGCTTTTGTTGATTTTCCTAGGGGTCCACATGCTACTAGATGGTTTGCGCATCTTAGTTGGACGAATACTACCAAGCATGTGTTGAAAGTTTATAGGGATGCCCTTGACTCTATGATAGAAGAACAGGTACAATGCATATCATTTTTATTTTTTTATAAAGATTGTAAATGTAAAGACTCATTTTATTTTTTTCCTTTTTCATGTAGTTTATTTGGGAACCATATCTTGATGACTTGATTGAGAGTCTTCCTGTCTATTGTCACGCTGGACGAAACATATGGCGGGTTAGAGTTCCAATCTTTTGTTGGAATGTAGTCGAGGTTCATTTGCCAGATTGTGTTATGAGACAATTTGGATTGCAACAAGCTATTCCAACTCCGTTTCCATTTGATTCCACACACTTTCGACATGATCGTCGGGGAAGACCAAATACAAATTGGGAATTGGAACATGCACAATGGTTATCACTTTGGAACCAACGGCTCCAATATAGTTGTGATGCACCGGTCAATCATGAACCATTTCGGTATGATGACCCCTACCTTATTTGGTTTAGGCGCATTACTCGTCTTGTTATTGGTAATCCTAATTCGCGTCCTCAAAGTCAACAAGGTTATGTGCCTAATTCAACGTCATATGAAACTATAGTATGTGTCACCTCATTTAATTGTTCTTACTTAATTGATATTTATGGTACTTTTATTTAATATAGGATACTTTTGATAGTTACTAAAGCTACTAATTAATTTTATTAATGCATAAATACATGTACAGTAGCATGTCTACTTTGAGAGTGGGCAATTGGATTGGTCTTTTACTCCTTAAAACAACTTAAATGCATAGGGTCTGTATGATTTGCAAATGGGTACAGGGATCTTGAACTGCATATTTGAGTTGTGGATTTTTTTGTAATGTTACCATGTTGTGAACTTTTTCTGTCAAAGGCCAAGTTTGAGTCGTGTGGTGAGATTTTTGAGTAAAAGAAGGTGTTAGTCTTCGAGTTTTGGTATAATTATTTTGGTATACATTAAAGAAAAAAATTGGATTGATTCTCGTGGTGAATAAGTGTCTCTAAATATTAAATTCTAAACTCAATTATAAATGCCTCATTTGCTCTTAGGTACGCCATATTCATTCGATGGTTGATGAAGCTAAAACACTTGGTGATAATCCATCATATGAGGCCTTATACATGTTTAGAAAAATGGTGCGGGATCAAGGTTCTAATTGTTTGAAATATGTCCATGAGGCTGATAGGGTTCATGTGTCAGCCGATTATAGAAGAGATATGGTACAACCTACCCAGTTACATCCCCCAGTTCGTAGGCGAGGAAAAGGTGGTGTTGCTGGTAGAAGAGAAAGAAACACAAACCAAACTTGCAATTTTCGAAACCAACGCCTATAAAATGGTATAGTAACAAAGCTTGCAAAGTCTCATAACCATTTCCAAGATAAATAAAACAATGATTTGCACTTCTATTTGTTGATAACAAAAAAATGGCAACGGGACCTAATCGGGAGTTGCCACCTGTTTATGAAGATTTTAGGCCTGTTTCTGAGCGGCATCAAGAGGCAGGAGCTGAAAAATTACTTATTTCTCTTCCTGGTGGGTTTATATATTTATATTCTCAAACAAAACTATTACCGGTAATGTTTCAATTTGTTTGTTTTGTTTTAACTTCACACGAAGTTTAAAAGAACAAGTAATTATTCTTGAGAAAATTAGATATAGCATTACTTTGATTCCTATTTACCAATCATAATGATAGCTTGGCTAAGTAAGAAACATAGCAATAGTTTACTTAAAAATACTAGCAATATGATTCATTCTGTATCACTGTATACAGCGAAACAATAAAATTCAAACCCTCACACTATGTATTGTAATTTAACCAAACTTTCACTATTTCAAATAAATACACACACATATATATACTAGTTCTAGAACACGTGCAACGCACGTGTATACCGTGCTAATTAGTATAAATACTTTTTAAAATATAAGTGTGATATGTGTAAAATACAAGCTCGAATCAATGAATGGTGAGCATATTCAACTTATTATCATTGGAAGACACATCATACTAAATATTGTTATCAAGTGAATTTCAAAAAAAATACTCAAACGACTTCAAATATGCAATTATTATAATATATCAAGTATTCAACTTGATAATAGTTCTTGTTTTAATAAGTCACAATACATATGGTTGCAAAATATTTAATGCCTTGAGGTTTCCACCTTCTTTTTAAGGAACAATAGCCTCCACCTTTTAACAAACGCATACATATCAAGAAGTTGTTGTCGAATGAGAGTAGCGTTTTGTAAAGTTGTAGAGAAATTTGATCAACATATGTCTCCCTTAGGATGGTTAGTAAATCATTATCAATTTCATAGTGAACACCTACAAAAATATATACTATTTATTTGTTATAAACATAATCGTGTGAGTATATAAATGACATATATATATAAATCATAATTACATGTATATGTACCTTTTGTCTTCTTAGGCTCATTCAAAAAAATTAAATTTTTTCATCTATAAATTTTGATTAAAAAAATTGTTAAGTTGTATACATATAATTATATTATGAAATACAACACAATCATTTGTGAGATATTAACCGTATGGTATTGTCATACTTCATAAAAAATTGAAATCATCAAATAAAAATCCAATGAAACAGAAGTATTATCAATCGATAAAGAAATAGGAAACAAAAGTATTACTCTCTCTCTACATAAGTTTACCACCATTTATATAATTAAACATCAAATCAACAAATCAAAATTTTATAAAACAAAAGCATTTTCATCAAAATAATAATAAAAAAAAAAAGAACAAGGAAAAGTATTACTTTACCATAGTTAAATTCAACTTCAACTGTTCATAAAATTAGATACACACTGTATGGGATTAAGGTATAAATAGGAGATATTAGGAGAGGTGAAAAGACTTATAGTAACTAATTTGAAATATAATATTTAATGTAAAATTATGTTCTTTTGGATTCTTAAATATAGAACATAAATAAGAAAAATAAAAAGAAATCAAAAAGTAAAAAGTTTGTAACTGATTTGACTATATTGTTTAATGAGGAATTATGTCTTCTTGATTTATTAACGTGAAGAGAATATGAGCAGATTTGGATGAGTAGTGCAACTATTTAATATTTAAATACTTAAATATATAATATTTTAATTTATCATAAATGCAAAATGGTAATTCAACTTTGAAGATAAGACCTTCCCACTTTCTTATCCATTTAGATTAGATTAGATTCATATTTTTTATTAAATGACTTTGCAATAAAAAAGTTTTTATATATATAGCACACCAACTTAGATTAATGATTTGTTAATACATTTATCAACGTTAGAAGTTCTAAAGTTTTATCTGCTCATTGATTAACGTAGAAAGCTCAAAAGTTTTACGAAAGTTGAAAAATCAGAATTTAATGAAAGGGTAAAATGGTAATTCAACTTTTGCACTTTGAACCTTCCCACTTTTAGTAATATATGATTTGGCGAAAAATGGTAGCATTTGATTGAATTGATATCCTGTTTTGTGCAGAATTGTGAGATGGATTGGATCAATGTGTGAATTGTACAAGAGTGAAAAGAAGTGTTTGAAACATTCGAGATCATTTTCAAGTGAGACATACAGAATCATGAACTTGGTCATGAATATTTGAACAACTTGAAAAATACAAATGATGCCATACAAATTAAAATGAAGCAAAATACATAATTAGAGTTATTTGAAAGTAAAAATACATATTTAGACTACCCACTTAAGTTTGATTTCGAGTTGGACATCTACGCCTATCATGCCCGGTCTGTCTACACAATCCACAAGCCCGCCCATATACTACAGGATCACGATCCATCTCATTAGGAATTCTAGTAGTCCTTGATCGATTGGGACGACGATAGAATTCATTACTTCTCATTATAAAACTCGGCGATGGCCAATATGCCTCGTGCCCAATCGGTGAGAACGACCCAGAATATGTTGTAACATAATTCTCTGTTGTGAAATGCTCGCTTACAAAATTTCTAGCTAGTGCTCCCATTCTTTCAGTAACCTTCATGACATGTGAACACGGAAAATGCAAATTTGCCCATTTTTCACAATCACATTTTTTTTCACTTAATGAAACACAGTGAGGATTACCACCAGTACCATCAATCTGTATAGATCTAACCTCATATACCCCTGTGGATATATTCCAATCATAAACAAAGTGTCTTTTTGAACCTTCATAGTTCTTTTCCCACTTCATTTTGAAACTGCTTGTCCACAATTCATTTTGCTCAACAAGTTGGTGAGTTGTTTGACATCTACGAGTATATCGTTCAACGGTTTGCTCCAATGAAAGTCTAACCATGGCAGTGACAGGCAAGCCTCGAGCTTTTTTTAGAAGTTCGTTGAAAGACTCTGAAAGATTTGTTGTCAATACTCCCCATCTTTTTCCATCATCATGGCTAACAGTCCATTTGTTCAATGGAATTCGCATGAGGTATTCATATGCTTCTCTATTTTCTTCTTGAATTTCCCACATCAAAGCTTCAAACTTCCTTACTTGATGAGCAGTAGCAGCCCTCCACATCAAATTACTGAGGTCCCTGTTTGGAAATTGAGATTGAAAGTTACTTTTAAGATGCCTTAAACAAAATCGATGAAAGGCCCGAGGCTCCTGAAATTGCCACAATTCTGATAAACTAGTCAAGATTCCTTTTGCCCTATCAGAGACAATACATATGTCTTCTTTATCCTTTATCACATATGTACTCAGTTTCCTAAAAAACCATTTCCATGCCACTTTCGACTCCTTGTCAACAATAGCAAATGCAAGAGGAAGAATGTTATCATTTCCGTCAACTCCAACAGCAATTAACAATTTTATCTCATATTTACCATACATATGAGTTCCATCTACTGAAATAACAGGACGGCAAGTTTGGAATCCATCAATGCATGGCTTGAAAGCCCAAAATACAAATTTGAAAGTTTTTACCTCTGGCGAACTCATTGACTCTTCGTGTTTCCATTCCACAACTGTTCCAGGATTAGAGTATTGAAAAGCTGCAAAAAACTTAGGAAGCTCACTAAATGATTTCTGAAAATCACCATATACCAATGTAAATGACGCCCAAGCCACGCTTTTCTATATGTTACTTGATGACCAAATTTTTCATGAACCTTAGAAATGACATCC